CAAAAGAAAAGCCATTAAAAGAAGAAAAGCTAAATAATTTCCCTCAAAGTAGCCCGAAGTGGTGTTCTTTCAAAAACAGAGCAGCAAGACACCAGTGCACACTCCACACACAAACACAGCTCACAATGCCCTGGTGATCCTGTGTCCCCTATAAGACATTCCAAATTCTGAGCTGGTAACTGCTCCTGCCACACACAGCATCCACCCCTGGAGCTTCCCTGCTGTCAGTCCATTTGCTACCTTTCTTGGAAGAGAGGGATAGAGAGGATAATGCTGGGAGAAGCCACGGACACAGCTCTCTGGCAGGACACAGCAATACTATGGGTACCACCAAGAAACCCCAGCCCAGTCCAGAGCAGTGGCAATACATGAAACAACAAATCCCATTGTGGAAACCTGGCAAAGCCCTCAACTGCCCTGAATATGCTGCAAACAGCATTCCAGGGGGAATGCTGAAGGCTCTGTGGGACACTGACACTGCAGACCCTCCACAGACCACCCTGTGAACCCACTTGCTACTCAACTGCTCCAGTCTGAGAAAAGGAGCCAGAAGTCCCCCTGAAGTTGAAAGTGATTTAAAATCTGGCTTAAAGGCCCTTTTCTCTTGCCTCTTTGCTCCATTATCCCACCTGCCTTCTCTCCTGGATGTTAGAACAGCACTCCCACCCCAGGACAAAACCCCCAGGAGAGCGAGTGCTGTGCTGCAGGTGCAGGTTTTCCCTACAGCAGCCCTTTGACAAAGTTGGGAAATCTCATGTTTTAGGGCTTCAGGAAAGAAACCAAAGGTGTTTGTCCCAATTTTTTTGAAGGGGACTGGGGAAAGGTATTAAAAAGAAAATCATGAACCCAATGAGCCGCTTCTTGCAGGGCCAGCAAACTCCAGAGCAGTTTTAGAGGGTCCTACCTGAAATGACCAGCTATGTTAGAGTTGAAACAGCTGCTGTGTGATCTGATGGAGCTCATTTAATACCAGAACAACACACCACTGATCAATACTTTAAAATTACAAAGTTACAAAATTCTGCCCGAGCACAGTCCCCACTCTGTTCTGGATGTTCCCCACTGCCCTTTCCCAGCAGGTTCTGTGACTCTGGGTCACTGTGGGAGCTGGGCAGAGCACTGCAACACTGGCACAGATGTGCTGGGGACTGTCCCACAGCACTCTGGCCATGTTCCACCCTAACAAACCTCCAGTGTCCCCTGTCCAGAAGGACCAATGCCACCCACAGGGAAGGGCTGCAGGAACTCTGTCCCCTGGGGCACATCCACACACAGAACCCTCAAGGAAGGGATTAAACCCAGCCTGGTGTGTCCCACCTCTCACAGCTCAGCTCCAGCTTGGAGCACATCCAGCCCTGTGAGCACTGAGGAGGAGGAAGGGAGAGAGAGGAGCAGGAGGAAGAGGAGGTGCTCCAGGTGCCAGAGCACCTGCAGCCCATGGGGAGACCTTGGTGGGAAAGAGAAAGGTGTGGGGAGGATGGAATGTGGACTGTGGACTGCCTGTAACCCCTGTAACCCCTGTTCCCCACCCCCATGACACTCAGAGGCAGAGCAGTTTGGGGTGAAGGACTGGAGTTGAGCCTGGGGAAAAAGGGTGGGAGAGAGCTGTCTTTATTTCTTACCAACAAACCCCATTGTAACTGGCAATAAGTTCACAGAATCATAGAACCCTACACTGGTCTGGGTTGGAAGGGACCTTCATGGAGTTCCAGCCCCCTGCCGTGGGGGTTGGACCTTCCACTAGACCAGTCAAATCAATTCTTGCTGAGTCTGTCTTGCCTGTGGCAGTAATTGGTGACCTGCTTGTCCTGATCTCAATCCAAGAGCTTTCCCACCTTATTTTCTCCCCCATCCTGCTGAGGAGGGATAGTGAGATGGCTGAGAAGGTGTCCAGCAGCTGGCCAAGGCCAACCCACCACCTCCACGTTAACATTAGGTACAAGCTGACTCTTAACAAGCCTTTAATGGTCATTGCTCCACCACTCCCCATGCCATGGAATCCTAGAAATCCTCCAGCTGTGCCCAAAAATCCTGGTTGCCAGCTAGTCTGGGGCAACCCCGAGCTTCCCACAGGCAGCATGGAAGATGGATAATTACAGCAGGAGTTGAACATTCCCTAATTACCTCCTTATATATTACCTCCTGTCTTCTTGTCTGTTTTAAACTATCCCCTCACATCTCCCTGATCTACCTGAATTGATGTTCCACACTTCTACTGATGGAGTAAAGAAAACCACCATCAGCAGATGATCAACAGTCACCATGAATCAGCAGATAAAACATCCCTTGAGCACTGGCTGCCTGTTTTCATGGGATAGCTGCTGCCTGTGTATGGAAGACACATCCAAAGAGCTGGGGTTTTAGTGTGTTTATCCCCTTTCCACTGCCGAATAGTTAATAAAATATATTGTTCTGTATCGTGTTCTTCCTGATTCTGCTACAGCTAAATAAGGACCAGGATGAGTTATTTTCAATCAAGTTCTAAAAGCAAAAATGGTTTTTGTTCACCACAACAGAAGGGCATTTAGTGCCAGCACAAGGGGGAATGGCTTCCCACTGCCAGAGGGCAGGGATAGATGGGATATTGGGAAGGAATTGTTCCCTGGGAGGGTGGGGAGGCCCTGGCACAGGTTGTCCAGAGAAGCTGTGGCTGCCCCTGGATCCCTGGAAGTGTCTAAGGCCAGGTTGGACGGGGCTTGGAGCAACCTGGGCTAGTGGGAGGTGTCCCTGCCCACTCATTACCTGTATTAACTTTCCCTCTCGCATTCCCCATGTGAGGAAAAGGTTTGCACTTCACGGCTGTGGGAGGTTTAAAAGGTGGAACCTGCTGTTCCTTTCTGTCATCCTCTTTGGAACAGGGAGGTTGTCACACTATCGATACCAGACCCAGACCCAGAGGCATTTTTTTTCACCCCCACACCTTCCTGAAATGACATTTGGGCACAAATGCCAATTTTAGAACACAAACTCCAAAGATCCAGGTCAGCAGGACTCAATACCTTTACTTTCTTAAACTTAGAGAATCACAGAATGGTTTGGGTTGGAAGGGACCTTAAAGATCGTGTCTTCCACTCCCTGTGTGGGCATGAGAGGGTCCTATCCTAACCATCCTAAATTTGCAGCCTGCTCTTCTTTATCAGCTGGAGGAAGAGGAGGTGCTCCGGGTGCCAGAGCGGAGACTCCCGTGTGCTGGTGGGAATTCAGGTCTCAGTGGGGGCACAGCTGGTCAGGATGGCCCCCTCATGCCAAGTCTGGCTGACCCTGCACGTGCTACACCCAGAGAGAAGGTCTCCAGCTCAGCAGCCAGGGTATTTCTGATCCTTTCTGCGTTCTGAGCAAACAGCATCTCCCTTCCCACTTGCTTTCTTCCTGACATCCCCTCACCTCAGCTTCTCCCAGCGAATGGACATGCACAGTGACAGCACAGTTGGGAACTCTTAAAAAACCAGGCTATTACAAGCAAATGAAATCATGAAAAGGGGGAAGGGAAGGAAACAAAGCAAAGAGAATTAAGGAACAAAAAGGCAAAGAGTTCTAACACGATACTTTTCCTTCCACCACACAGAAGACACAGGATTGTATTGCAGGGTGGAGGGACAGACAGGAGGGTGCCACACTGAGCACTGCTGCAATAAGGAGTTCAGGAAAGCTGCATTACCTTCTCTGTGCAGGAGGAGCACTGTCAGAGGCTTTGACAGTGAGAGCGTAGGATCGCCCCACTGCCAGCACCACTCCTGGAGCGATGGTGACAAGGCCTGTTCGCTCATGGATGCTGAAGTCTCCCTGATCCCCAGCCAAAATTTCATACACTATCTGGCCATTGGGTCCCTCGTCCGCATCTACAGCTGTGAGCTGGAATTAAAACCACAGTGTCAGTGTTGGGCCTTCACAGGCCGTGGGGAGGCAACTGGGAGGGGGAGAGGAGGCAGAGGGGAAACTCCAACAGCTGGAACACAGGAAGGAATTTCTAATCACTGTCCAACAAAGATACAGTTTAAATGGAGGGTAATAGGTGTAAAAACATCATGAAGCAGAGAAAAACTGCTTACTGCAGACTGCAAGCCATTTATTTTAAGGTACAAATTAAGAAACCTAATTAAGACCAAGTTTCCTCTCTGTGGATTGGAATTTCTAACACTTCCTATAAAGGAGGAAGAAGACACTTATTATGTAGCAAAAGTAACACCAGGATCATATTTGTTTACTGGAAGTTCCCATCTCTCCCTACACCATTCAAAGGGACAGCCTTGGTACTGCCAGGAGGTTTCACTCCCAGGTCTGGCATTCCAAGCCCTTGTTGTGCAGAACTGGAGAACAAAGTTTGTATTAATATGCACATACTCTAAAGAGCCAAGGGGAGGGAAATGGCAGTTGTTCCCATATGGATACACACGGAGAATCACAGAACCATTAGGCTGGAAAAGCCCTCTGAGATCATCAAGTCTGACCATTCCCCAGCACTGCCAAGGCCACCACTAACCCATATCCCCAGGTGCCACATCCACACACCTACTAAATCCCTCCAGGGATGGGGACCTCCACCACTGCCCTGGGCAGCCTGTTCCAATGCTTGACCACCCCTTCCACGAAGAAATTTGTCCTAATATTCAAACTAAACGTCCCCTGGTGCAACTTGAAGCCGTAGGAAACACATCCCAGACGTGCAAGGCCCATTTCACAGGGCAGGGTGACACCACCCCCCCGACAGGCTGTGCTTGGGGGTGACCTCAGGGTGAGACAAACACAACTGGGCACATCCCTCTGCACTCTGGTGACTCTGCACCATCTCTGCTGGCTCGGTGGTTACTCCCACCTGCAGTGTTTCTCCCTTACCATTGCACAGTTTTGATTCTGAGCATGAGAAAAACCCAAAGGCCCCCAAATTCTACTGGTGAACATAATGAAATGAGGGGGTTCTTATCTTGCCCTTGGGAAAGGCAGTGGGTTTATCCCACTTCTGTAGCTTGCAATGTTAAAAMMAA